TGCCAGTCTTCAGTGATCCTGAGCTATTGCCTGGGATTTCATTCTGGGCATAGCTGCATCCCGATGGCAGTCTGAGCTCCAGGAGCAATTTCTCTCCCTGTAGAGCAGGAGTATCCGAGTGCCAGTGCTTCTCATCCGTCTGTGCTCTTCCTGCAGATGTGATCATTTGCAGTTGTTTTGAATTCCAGGTGCTGGATGCATGGCTTCCACAATTCATAGCATGTCACATTTTGAGGAGCTGATTAGTTTAAGCTTCTACTCCATGATCTCCTTCATCTAGAAGTGCTACATATTTGTGTAAGTTTAAAAGGGCTCTGTCTTTTCAGGACAACATGGTGACTATGCACGATGTCCTAGACGCGCAGTGGCAATACGACAACAACAAGGATGACAGCTACCTGCGAAGGGTTATCCTGCCCCTGGAGAAGCTGCTGACTTCACACAAGCGGCTCGTTATGAAAGACAGTGCAGTAAGTGGCTGAGTTGGTGCCAGTCGACATCTGGAGACTGCAAAGTGCCACCCTGTGCACCTAGCTGATACAGCACAGAGGGGATCAGGGTCCTCATGCTGTAGAGCATCATGAAGGACTCGGTGTGACCTGCTGCTACGTCAGCAGTAAGATGCAAGAACCCAGAACTGAATGCAGAGCTGGTGCTCTCCTCGCTTTAAGACAACACTTATTAGAGATCTGTCTTGCAGCTTGTTTGCTGGGGCAGGTGCTTTTCTATGCTTGCTTCTCCAGAGCCCTCAAGTTTGTTTCTCATTGTCCATCTTAAAAAACATATGGGCAGACTGTTGTTGGGGTGGTAATGACTATGGGAAGCTAAAGTGATCTGAGGCACTTCTTAAGATGCAGCAATAGACTGTAAGGCCTGCTGTTCCCCACCTCCTCAGGTTAATGCCATTTGCTACGGAGCCAAGATCATGTTGCCTGGTGTCCTGAGGTATGAAGATGGCATCGAGCTTAATCAGGAGATTGTTGTCATCACCACAAAAGGAGAAGCCATATGCCTGGGTATGAAGTTCCCTGTTCTTGTACCTGGCTAAATGCAGCCATGAGACTGTATTCCAGCGATGTGTGACAAATGAGTTCCCGTGCACAAGAGGCTGAAATAGCACTGCTGGTGGGAGT